CCACTGACCCCAGCATGGAGGGGTGATGGCCAGGGCAACCACGAGGGTCAGCCTGGCAGAAGCAACTGAAGCCCCACACCAAAGAGAGGTGCCAGTCCCACAACCCCGGGGCAGAGCACAGGGCAACAAGCAACCTTTCAACCAAAGGTGCAGCTGAGATAGGCACTGTCTGTAGGCTCTACTGATGGCAGTGTTCCTGGTGCCCCACAGAAAAGCAGGCATACTGCCACAAATCAAAGCCTGCAGAGAGACTCAGAGAGCTCACAGCCCTGTCACAAACAGGCTGTCCCCCTCTACGCACAGCCCAGCCCTATCCCCTCCATGACTCACCATCTGAATCAATGCTGTTCAAGGCGGTCGGTGGGATGATGGACACTTTGTACTGACCCAGAGGGCACCTCTTGCCAAAGAGCTCCTTGCAGGCGCTGTGAACCTGGGGACACAGAGACAAGTGCATCAGCAGAGCTACGGAATGCTGCACCAAAGCCCCCAGCCTCACTTTCCCCAGCAATGCAGCCAGAAGGGGCAGGATGGGCACGGGGATGGACGCATCCTTACAATGGCCTTGCACCAGAGACACCGCCAGTCCTGAAGCCTCCGGACACTGCCGCAGGTCCTGTCCAAGGCGGCGCAGCGGTTCCCCCCCAGCCACTGGTGGGGCATGGCCACCTGTGGAGAGGGGGAGTCACCAGCAGCACAGCACCCCATCACCGCCACACCCGAGGGACAGCAAGACCCAAGGGACAGTCCCCACAGCAGGGCCAAGCAGCCCTAGGCCCCCCGCATGCCCGCTCATCCCTGCCCTCCAGCCACCAACGCATGGGGCAGAGTAGGGGCATCCTCAGCAAAAGTTTGCAGGTGGCAAACATGGAGAGCAATAAAGGATGTTGGGTGTTGGAGGAGGTGTCCCCGGGCCATGTCCCTACCAGCCAAGCTCAGAGGCTACACAGTGCAGGGGGCAGCTAAGTGACAGGGACCTCTGGCTCCTGATGTGGAAGCACAGCATGGCCAGCTCTGTTGGTGACTCTGTCCTGCCAGGGTCCCCTGCAGGGACTCCCCAGCTTACCCCATCCTCATCCTCGATAATTTCAGTGCCGATGGAAGCCAGGGTTGTCCACTTGCAGTTGTTGGTGGCTCTGACAGCGCAGCGCTTGTGTGCCTTGAACTTGCAGACTGTGCGGGGGGGAGCAGTGATGGTCCCCATGGAATGCGCAGCCCTGGTTCTCAACCCCTCCGCAGCCAGTGATGGCGGCCAGTGGGCATCCCCCCACATCCCTCCTGCTCCAGGC